TAAGGCGATTTCATTGTAAGATTAGAATTAAAGATAGACATCTAGAATAATGCATCAATTTGGTTGATCTAGTATTATAATATTGAATAATAGTATCATAAACAGTTGACACTTCGTAGTCAACATTATTAGCAATAATCTGATAACTATCACCATATTGATAACAATAAATTATAGCTCCATGTTATTTTGCAGTTAATTCTTTAGTTTTTAACATTTTTTTATTTAGAGTTTCAGAGAAGAAAATTTATTAAAAAAAATTAAATTGTTATTTTTATATTTATAATATAAATAAACACTAACATGTCATATAATTGCAATTTATTATTACGGTCATATGACTTTTCTAGCATTAATTCACATTTATAGAAGATATGCGAATACTTTTATCTACCTTCTATATTAAAATAAAAAGTTAAAATAATAATCTAAGTATCATATTATTTATAAAAATTAGATTAATCTAAATATAACAAGCAAAACTCATGATTGAAATAATACAAAAAGAACTCTTCATGATCAAAAATTCTAATTTGTATAAAAACAAAAAATTAAAATAATAATATATCAAATTATTTATAAAATTAGATGAATCTAAAAATAACTTATACAAATTAATAAATATAATACATCAAACAATCAAAGTAGATTAACAATAACAAATCATCACTTCAATGATAAATAAAAAATCATTATAAAATCATTTATTACAATTTAGTAAAAAAATCAATAAGCAATTTCAACTAAATTCAACAAAAATTAGTAAAAAACAATGTGATTTCTTGATATAATTTTAACAAAATTTTAACAAAATTTTAATATGATCACAGGAGTGTTATTTAGTCAATACATCAAAATTTCTTGTGATTATGATGTCATTTTATTCTGTAAAAAGTAAAAAAAAACTGTAAATATTATTGCTAAAGCTCTGAACAGTTCGGTTTAGTCCAAATTAGATGCTAATTCATATTCGAATTGAAAATTTTAATTCAGTTCAGTTTAGATTATTAATCTTAAAAATGCTAATTTGAATCTGAACTGAATCGCAGACTGGTAAAAATCTGAATCAAACTGGAATTTTTGAATTAATCTAAAATTACAGTTTAATTATATAAGAAATCTGCAATTTATATGCAAAATTTTAGGAGAATCGCAAAAAATTGCGATTTCTCTTTGAGTTTTCACAAAATTTGCGATTTTTCAAGATTTTCACATTTTTTTACAAAATTTGAAGAGAAATCGTAATTTTATGCGACTCTCCAAAAATTTCGCAATATTTTTGCAAAATACTAAGAAAAATCATAAACTTTCAGATTAATCTAAAATTATCAGTTTAGTTCAAATTTTTTTCAGTTCAGATTAGAATTATAATCTAAAAAAAATCTGAACTGAACTGAAAATTTTCAAATTGATTTTTATGCAATTCAAAACTGATCTGAACTGAACTGATCTAAAAAATCTTCAGATTATTTTGAATTATTTAGAGCTTTAATTATTACATAACTTCCAAATTACTATTCTATTATAGTAATAAATTTTTCGAAATTAGTTTGTTTTAAAAAGATAAACTGTTATTTTAAAGCTTCTTTTCTAAGCTTTTTAATAGATCTTAACTCTTTCTTTTTCATATTAAAAGATTTTTCTTACTGCTTCAAATATAAAATTACTTTATTAAGCTTGTAAAAGAAATATTAAAAATACTAAAGCTCTAATTGATGATAATGTCGCAATCATTTTGTATGATGCATTTAAATAAATATGTTTATAGATTGGGAAAGGAATAATGGGATTTGATGCTGATGAAAGAACAGTTTTGGAAAATATCAGGTAAAGATTAATTAATCAGAGAAAGGAATATTTATAAGAAGATATACTAATCCCTAATACTTTATTTCACTATAGTGACTGACTATGATCAGCTCTGTAAAATAAAATGACTGAATTTACAAAATAACGTGAAAATATTTCTGGAAAATTATATTATAGTAAAATTATATTTGTGTAATAAAATCAGTAATCATCTATTATAATAAATTATTCATTATATATATTAAATAATTTGTTATAACGTTAATAAAGATTCTTATAATGAAGTCCTAATTAGCTAGATCAGCAACTTTATTATATCAAGACATGACTATATATTAGTAATTTAAAAAATAGTTAAGTGACTTATACAATATTATAATTATTTTTCTGAGTTTGCTGACCTTTATTCTTCTTTAAAAATCTTATTTAATTTACAAGAAACATTATAATCAAGCCATTTTTATTAACTATCTTTATAAATATCTAAAACTTAATTAGAAAAATAAGTAAAATTTGAAAAATGAATAGTTCTCAAAAAACAAATAACTTCTGAAAAAATAAATAATTTTGATTAAATATTGATAAAGATGATAATATTAATTCTAACATTATAGATAAATTTAAAAAAACTAAAAAGTCTTCTAAAAGCTAATCATTAAAAGATTTATCAGAAATCACAATTAATAATTAAATTCAATAATTAAATCATATAAATATAACTAGCATTTAAAAGATTAAAAAATAAAATAAAAAAATTAAACCTAAAATTATAGAGAACTTATAATTATGCAATTAAGATTTAAAATTTATATGATTATATGTAAAAAATCATTCTAATTTATCAGTTAAAGAATATTTTAATTGGGTTAAAAAATACAAAATTTAATTTATCAGATAAAATATGAAAAAGTTATTAATTTTTTTTTTTTTAATAATTTTTAAATAATAATATTAATTTCTATTACAATAAATATTTATCTATCTATAAACAATAATTTATTAGAAGATTATAAACTAATAATCTTTTATTAAAGAAAGCTGATAAAAGAATAATTTTCTTCTATTTATTCTGCAAAATATTATTCTATTTAATATTTAATAGAAATTATTAATAAAGTTTAACTAATGCAATTTTATTTAAAAGTATATGAAATTATAAAGAAAAATAGTGTTGTCTTTAGATTAGATATTTATGAATAATATTAGGAATTAGATGCGATTACAAAAAAGTAAACAAAATCTTAAGATTTAATACCTTATGTTTTATAATATTATTAAAGATAGGTATTATAATTAAAAAAAAATAATACAATTAAGTTGCAACTTATAGTATAATTAAATTTACTTATGATATAATTAAGTTGCAACTTAATTGAAATTTAAAAATAATTATAGAGACTATTTTTAAATATTATTAAAAATTATTATATGTAATTATAAAAAGTTTCTTAAAATACTACTTTATTTTAATTAAATTAATTAGTAAGATAAATACTAAAAATAAATATATTGTAAACTTTTAATTTATATAAATTTTTGATTAAAATAACTTATTCAAAATAATTAGATATAATAATTATTAAATTATTAGACTAAGAATTTAATTAGAATTATTTATAAAATGTCAAAGATTTCAAGCTTATTTATAAAGACTTAAATTTGTAATCAGAGTTTAGAAAAAATATAAATTAAATAAAAATTTAAAAAATTTACATATTTAATAAAATAAGCTTGGCAAAATTTTATTATATAAATATTTATTAATAAAAATAATTTTTTTCTATTTAGATTGATATTAATTTTAATACAAAAAGCAAAGTTTTAAAAAGTGAAGAAAATATAATCAATTTGGTCTGAAATTTTATTAAAGATAAAATTTTTTTTAAATAATTTGATAAAAATATTCAAAAAAAATATTTTAATTTAAAGTTAAAAAAATAAGACAAATTATTATATATATTATAAGAGATAAAGAATACATTCAATTTAGATAATGAATGTAATAATAAAATATTATAAATAAATTTGTTCTAAAATAAAAAAATAAAAATAAAATATTATTATAAAATAAAATATTATTCTAAAGTTTTAAAATAAATTGTAATTTATAATTGATTTCTGAATTTAATATAAATTTGATTAGCAGATCCATTATTATTATAGAAATTTATCAATATGATATATTTGGTATATTCTCTGACTGTATTATACAAATGCAGAATCTCTATAATAGGAACTTTACTATAGTAAAATGGAATATATTTAAAATGTAAAAAAAAAAATTTATTATATATAAAATTGAAAATTTAATTTAATAAAATAAATAAACATGATTTGCACTTTAATAATTTTGAATTAGAATTTTAATATTTTCAATATTAATAGAGTTATATCAGGTAAATTTATCTAAAATTAATTATAAAAACTAAAATTGAAAAAAATATGTGATGATAAATTCATGAAAACAATTCTTTTATCATTTGTTTAAAATGTTTGTTTTCATTTGAACAATTTTTATCATTCATTTGAAATGATGTTTTTATTATTCAAATAAAATAATTCTTTTATCATTCATTTGAAATAATATTTTTATTATTTTAATTAAACAATCATACATGGGTTGAATTACAACAAATTATTCCTAAAGCATTAGATTCAGTTCCTTTAGTTACAATTCGAAAATATGCACAAAATTTATAATGATATATGGATATTTATAGAAAAGGTATTACTGGAAAAAATAGCAGAATTTGCAAATAAAAATATATGTGTACCTGATGCAATTTATAATGAAATAAAATAAAATAAAATAAATTGTTCTAGCAAAATTGAAATTCAATCTCAGGATTAAATTTTATTAATGCTTTTTTAAGTTCCTATTATAGAGGTTTCGCACTATATCACTATATCAAAATACTTTTATTTTATTTAATTTTTTAATTTCTATATATTCTTTCAAACAATTAAATAACAAAACAATAACCATTAAATTTTTATAATCATTATTTAGTTAATATTTTTCTTGACTACGAAAAACTACTGCCATTTTTTTTTTGCTATCAAAATAGTTAATAACAATCGATTAATACCATTATCGTGGTTTTCTAGTTGTAATATGCGTGTAATTTCGTTAAAATAGGTAACGCAGAAAAAATTTTATTTGTTATTATTACACAAAAATTGTCACATAATTAAAAATTTGTTAGTGCATTCGAGTTCTCTTTTAACTATAAAGAATTTAAAGATTAATAAGAAATATAATAAGATTCAAATAAGCTCGAGACAAATACTTACTGTTTTATTTACTTGAAGTGTACTTGATTCAAGCTCCATTTGTGACTTCGTCATTTTATTTTGAAGAGACGAATAGCATTGAGTAACATCGGACGCAAATGACTTAAATAACTCGACAAGTTGTTTATGAAGTTCGGATGACTCATCGTTTGCTTGTTGAGGACAATTATATATAAAATGTTAGAAGTTTGTCATTCTAAATATGAATTATTCGTAAATCAATATACCTGAGACAGTCAATCGTTCCAAAGAAGTCAATGTTGATTCAATTAAACTTTTATATTTGTCCAAATGTGAGGACATTCCTTTCGTTATATTATTGACGTTTGCGGATAAATCTACTTTACTTTCCTATCGTACCATTTATTAAATGTATTTAATGAACAATTCGCATTAATATTGATTTTACGAAAGGGTATCTTCTTTACCTTTATAAGATATGCGAGGTTCTCCTTTGTAGACGAATATTGTGATTTGTGACCGCTTAAATATTTTGTGTTGGATGTCTTCATACCCTCAAGCGCCGTAAGATTTGCTTCTTTACATAATTCAATAGGTATTTTTAAGTTAAGAATAATAAAAACACGTCATATTTATTTATAGTAGATGTAAAAGGATATATTTAACGTTCTTTTGAGTTGAATCATGTACTTTATCATAAGTTTCCTTGAGTCTATCGATTTGAGCATTGGTAAATTTGTTAAGTTCTTTTTTGATAATGTCCAATAATTCTTCGTTCAAGTTTGTCGCAATGTTGCATTCTTTTTTTATGGCATTATCCAATAAATCATTATGTTCTTCGAGGCAACGAGTCTAAAGCGTGATGGTTGGTAAGAATTTAAAATTTTCCTAAACGAATTTTGAAAATATAAGAATACCACCTCCGTCTTAGCTGCCTCTTCAGTAATATTTTGACAAGCAATAATGGCCTGGTTTTGAGAATCGATATGCTCTTGCGTTGTAGTCACCAAAGTAGATATCTCCTCATCGATCTTGGCATGGTAAGTTTGCATCTTAATGATATAATAGGATGCGCATTGAAGGTGTATATTGTATAAATTTTGTTAATGTACGATAAAAAAATAAAAATAAAAATAGAGAAAACCAATAATCTAACCTTAATAGATTGACCTGCCAACTCATCATGCAAACTTTTGAGCATAGTAACAGAATCCTTGCGTAATCCTTGGTCCTTTTTAATTGCAGCTTCTTGAAACCCTTTACGAAGTTTGTTTATTTCACCAAAAAAGGTGGTGACAACATTACCGTCACTAGTAAAAATTTGTTCAAGCATATTTTTCTGTTGCTCAAATCTATCGAGTTGTTCATCAATATATTTATGATACTCCGATATTTCCTACATTAATATATTCATTCAATAAAAAGTTTTCTAATAATTAATCAAGAATAAATACAAAATATCTATTATGAACCTTTGTACGCTCCTTATAAGCATCATTTATTTTACGGGAAACAGTTGATCCAAATCCCATGCTCATTGCCTTTAAATCATTAAATTTTGTCTGTAACTCTTGGAGGTTCTTTCGATGTTGATGATCAATTAAAGCCTGTCGTTCTTTATAGCATATTAGGTTAATGTGAGAACTTAAAATTTTGTCTTTATAACAAATTACTTGCCTTTTGTGATAATCAAATCTCGCTCCAAATTCTGAACTTTTTCGACTAGCATTTCCTTTTCTTTTTGTAATTCTTCACACTCGTCTTTTCGACTCTTATTCTCATTCACTAAGAATTGATGTGTTTCTGCTGACATGAAAATTCCATTTTTATCACGAGTAGCCTAAAAATGATAATTCATTTATATAATCAATATTGAAAAGGAATGCTATTAATCTTTGAAACCATACTCGCAAATCCATTTCCAGGCGTTCGATTTTATTAATATAATCTTTTATCAAAGCCTTCTTCGTGACACGTTGATTAGCAACCGGCTTGTTACGAATGTTCTTTGCTCGGTAAGCATAATCTAAAGTTGACATGGTCTCATCATAACATGATTTTGCGGGAGATACTGTTGCAATAATACATGTTTTAGTTTTGCCTCCAAGAGAATCTTGCAAAAGACGAGTCAGCTTGCTTTCTCTAAATTATGAAAGTATTAATCAATAAATTTAACTTAAAATGTTAATTTTCGATTTTGGTCAAAAATACCTAAAGGGAATATGTAAGCAACGTTCGTTAAGGGCATTTATACAACGACCCAACGTCAGTAAACTTTTATTTATATTTCCAGCTTCTTTTGCTCTGTTATTTTCAGCTCCTGACCGGCCAATGCACTCCGAGCCTGCCAAATCCACCAAATTAAATTTTCCGACCTTGAGCAAGTCTTCTCCATCTGCCATGGTCTCTTTGATATGCACTGTAATAAAGAATACAGAATGGGAACGACTGAAAAAGCAATAAAAAAGAAAGGTTGGTAAAAAATAGTCTTATTGTAATAAAAAAGGGAATACTCTTATGATACCTTGAATTTTTGTTGCAATTAGTTTGTGCAGCATGTCGTTTAACAGAACCTTGCTTCAAAACTCGTATTCCATCAGCTGCATTCTTAATAAGTACTTCTTCATGACCATTAAGTATGCCTTTTTTATTTCCTTCATCCTGAATCTTCAACTTTCGTGCATCATCATTAGAAGAGAGAAGATCTTTAAGATCTTCATTGTATAATTCAATATAAGAAACCTTGACTGAGAAATCTTGAGCTTCTGCTTCTAAATCCTGAAAAAGGTTAAAGAGGGTACGCGGAATAATACCGGCATGTTTATTCATTTGACCGTTCGCAATGTCTAAATTACCCTCCATCGTATATGTTTTGCCAGTTGAAGTTTGTCCGTAGGCGAACAGAGTACAATTGTAACCCGCTTTAACCTCATGTAAAATAGGGATAACGATATGATCAAAAATCTTTGCTTGATCTGCCTCTGGTCCAAAAACTCTATCGAATGTATACGTTTTGAGTACTTTGTCCGGTGATTTTAATTGTACCTCGCGAAAGTTCGTTTCAATAATGACCGGTGCGTTTGCGGCGATTTCACGATCAATACGTCCTCTATATAGTTAAAATCATAATTCTTATTTAATATGGCTATGAAACGTAAAGAAAGTAAAATATCATCACATACCTGCAACGCACAATAACCTGAATATTAATTTCTTTTTCGCCATCCTTTATATCATTACTTCTTCTGCGTTTCCTTGCTCTTTCTATGCAAACCTCACTACTAAATGATATGTCCATTTTTGAATAATAAATGTTCGCACGACTTTCGGGTAAACAAAAGAGTACAAAATTTTATATAGGCAATTTATTTATATATGTTTTTGTTTTTTTTTTTATCCAATTACGTCATTGACACGTCTTAAAAAAGATACGCGTTAAAATAACATTCTATGCTCACGTGACTTATGGAAAATTTTTCCGCAGTTTCGCATTGAATAAATTAAATTCCGATTGAATGGAAGAAAAGTCAACCGAGCATGTAATTTTTATAAAACTTTATTTTAGAAATTTTTGAATTTTCGCTCGTTATATATTAAAACGAATTTAAATTGTTTTTGTAGGCAGGATCAGAATCTGAGGTTCGGAGATAGTTTAAATGAACAAATTAGTAAGGTTCATTATTGGCTTATGAAAGCTGAGCCTGAATCACGAATTGTCAAGGGAATAGACGTCAAGTTTAGGTTAGAATTACAACAATATATATGATTTTCTTATTTACATATTTCCATTAATACAAGGTACTTATATTTTAGCATTGACGATTTAGCAAACATGCCTAACGGGTAAATTTTTAATTTAATCAAAATAAATGATTTATAAATTATGAAATTAATTAATTAAATCATTCTATATTCGTTAACAGCGTTTCTCAATGGGATGGTGTAGTAAGTGTCAGTGTTTATGTATAATCACTTTATTCGCTATAAATCGTTGATTTTTTTCTTATATTATAGAGAAATTATGAAGCGCGTAATAATATGAAAAACGGGATGAAAATCAAAGATAAAGTAATAACATGTTACATTGGTATCTCTAAAATTTTGAAGATTTCAGCATTTAATATGTATAAATTACAGGTGTTATTTTATCATTCCAATTGCAAGACACCTGGAATAGCGGGTAAGGATAGAATCGTTAATTATTTTGAACATTTGATCTACAAAAGTTTTAAAAAATATTATATATTCAGGATTAGCAGAGGTACAACTACTACTCAAAGTAATTTTTTTTTTTTTTTTGCATTTATATTCGACTTTTTTTTTCTTGTCATAATCTTATTAGATAGTGAAGGAGGCTTATCCAGATTGTAAGTTAATAGATTGAATTATTGGTATTTCAATAATTTATTTAAATTATCTTCCTTTTTTTTGAATGTAGATACTGCTTTTGATGAATCCCATCCATATTATGATCCAAAGTCAAATAAGGACAATCCAAAATGGTTTATGGTAAAAACATTTAGCATGATTACTATAATCTCGGCTTAATAAGATAAAAAATATTCGACACAAATTTTTTATTATTTTAATAGGTTGATGTTAAATTTGTTCGTAAGTTCAACCGTTTAATTACACTTAAGGAATTGCAAGCTCATAAGGACGATGGATTGAAAGGTATGGCACTATTGAGCCGTGGACGTTTATCTATACAACCCGTGAAGAAAGAGCATTATGATTTTATTTTAGAATTAGAAAAGAAAATATGATTTACTAACTAGTTTGACTAAAAGTCACGTTACCATGGATTTTTTGGTTATTTTGGTATACCTGTTTAAAATTGATTGGCTGGAATTATTAAAATATATTGTATCAAAATATTATAATATATTTCAAAGAAATTTATAAGATGATAGTTATACAAAATTTTTAGTTTAAATAAAGAATTTATAAAATTATAAAGTTTGAACAAGTATTGATTTCAAATTATCTTAGGAATATAAGATTTTTTTTTGACCATGTTAATAATATAAAAGCTATTTTATTAAGAGAAAAAACAAATTTAAAAAAAAATAAATTACCGTTCTGATTGGTCCGATTGGATGACGTTATTATTATGGTGCAGGAAGTTTATACAATATAAATGTACAGTAACTTAAAAATCTTTCAACTCTTAAAAAAAAAGAAATTTAGAAAAAATAAACTGATAACTTTATTCTTTGAGATAAGCTTTATTAAATTACTGGTCAGTTTTTTAAATAAGTTTTATATAAAAAGTTATAGGCATTTAAAATTGGATAATTTTCATATGATTGTCTTAAATTTAAAACATATGGAGGTGGCCAGTAAAAAAAGGGAGAAATCCACTTTTAGTCAAAAATTTTTTTATTGGTGAAAAAAATACCTCTGGTAACGTCACACAGCCCCTATTTTTGGCAAGAATTTTACTGGTATATTTCAGGTGATCGGTCTACATGACGAAGTCTATGCTTTACAGAATTCCACCATCCCAAAATTCAAGGTAATAATATTCACCAGCACCCCATTCACTCTTTATATCCTTCTTTATATTTTCGCCTTTGTGGTCTTTATTACATATAGGACAAGGTACTTAACTATTAAACACAAATTTATCATTATAACTCTCACTATACTTAAGGATAGATAAGGAAATTGCTTCAACATCCAATTATATATTTTTGCTTTTCTTCTGGACCATCGGATAAAATAGAGATAGGAAGTTGGGATTTGTTAGATTTATTTACCTGATTAGAAGAAGTTGTGAATGATGTATTCATCTTAGCTTTGGGCGAACTGACTGGACTGATTTTAGGGGAATCACTTGAAGAATTAGAGACAACGAGTTAATGGAATAGGTGCAGTTGAAATGTTACTTCAGCTGGTATGAACAAGATTCTTTCAGGACAGAAATTTCAGTCACATGATTTGTTACTTTTCATCTTACATTATACAGCTCCTTTATTATGCTAGCGCTAGCGGTGACTGTGACACAGTATCAAAAAAAGTTCTGAAAAATTCACAATTTCTGGTTATAAAAGGAATCATGATGCTTTTATTATTTTTCCGTTTGTCTCATTTTCAATGAGTATCACAACAGAAAATGTAGAAGAAACGTTATTTGAAGGAACTCGAGAAATAAGGCAAACCACTAAAATTATTCAGGTAAGTTATATTAATATGTTTAAGAAAAAGAATAAGGAGTATTGCTAACGAGTAATGACTACAATAGATCTGCGCAAAAATTGATCAATTGCTGGAGTAAGTATAAAAAGATGATATCGTCGAGATCAACCTTCCTGATGAACTAGGTATAAACAAAGCTAATGCATGTGTACTCAAAGTGATACATTCGATATATTCCGCTGACAGAATCAGAAATGATTTATTTATTAAGGTAAGTAATTATAACCTACACACCTATATATATCATTTATTGATCTTAGAAATTTTGTATTAATAATTTAGTATGATGGGTTTAATAAAGAAAGGATTCATTACAAACTAGTAAACTCAGCTGAAACGTTCAACCCAATGTGATATTCAGCAAGTAATAGAATATATGTTGTTAGAGGTGCAGAATGTCGACCTGACATTGGTGTTTGATTTACAAGACCAACACAGGTGTAACGCACACATCTGATTATTAATCAATGTTCGCCTCTGGCTATGTGGATTAAGGTAATTGTATTAAATCTCCATTAAGGAAAATGTAAATGGCTTGACTAATCTGATCTGAATCCTTGCAAGTGTTTTTTGATAAAGATCCAGATTAAAGTAACGCATTTAATAGAATTAATTATTGTCAGCAATACTAGAATAGCATTGAATACGTTGGAATTGCTACCCAAATCCTTGACAAGCTTTGACTGCTGTAGTTCAACAAAACAACAGACCTAACCAACCTCCATATGTCATTCATTGGGACAGAAATAATAACTCAATGTATTTTACGTATAGCTAAAATAATCATCTTGTACTTAGGTGTCATTGGAGACTTAATTTTAATCTTATACTTAACGAAATTCTTTAATGATAGATATTCTCAACAAATAGGCAATAGTTGGGTTGTAAAATGTCATCAGCTTCGATCTTTCAAATTATATACCTCAAAATCACTTTATTCTAGTAATCAAATGGGTCAGACATGATCTCTTGAAAGTTATGCAAATTGAACTTTTTTACATGTAGTACTCGCATGGATATTACCATGCCTAATATTTACTCTATATTCGATTAAGATAAGATAAAAAATATGATAGAAATACTTACAGAATATGAATATACTTTATAAGATGAATAAAGATAAACATTATGCTTACTCATTTGTAACAATGGTTTAACAACATCTCGTAAAATTATATATTGAATTTTCAGAAAAATAGTGAACAGTGTTCATAGTTTTTGAATCACGTGATAATAATTTGAACTTCAGAATGTAAAAATAGCATACAGTTAACTCTTTCTATAACGAATTTTGATATAACAAATTTTATAATACAATAGATTTTCAGTGTCAGACAGATTTTTAAATATAAAAAAACTCTTACTATACCGAATTTAGTAATTAAAAATTCGTATTATGTTTAACGAATTAAAATCAGAAAAATTTATATATAAAATGACTCTTTTTATAACGAATTTTCTCTATAACGAATTTTTTTTTTGATACAATGAAGTTTTGCTTAAAATGAATTTTACTAGATTTATGTATATAAAATTTTGTAGTTC